TTTGTAGAACACAAAAGGAAACGAAAAGAGTAGAATAGCAATAGCAATGGGAATTAGCTTTGAAACAAAAGCTAACAAGTTTGTGTAAGGTATTTTGCATTTTCTAAGCCATACGGTGAAACCATAGGAAAGTAGACACTGAAACACCAAGAAGTTCATTTGCGGACAAACCACTATTATTTCTTTCTGGGACAAAATTAGATTTTGGGTGTGACAGCCAGGGATGCTGTAAAAGGATTGACAGCAGGGAAAGCATATGAAAGCAATTTGGGGGGTGGGATTCTGGAGAAAACAGGGGTGGGCCGTTGTGTGGGAGACATAAGACACCTGAGCATAGGACCAATGGAGGATAAATGGAGAAAATAATCAGAAGAAGCCCCAAAAGAAAATGTTCTGGTGGGAAGAATAGGGCAGAGATAGAGGTGTAAGAGACTAGAAATAAATGGCTTCCTTCCAGCACAAAGTGTTTCTATTTAAGCAAGTAAACAGTAGCTCTAAAACATAGCTAAAGTAAATATCATGAGGCCTCTCAGCTTTCTGTCTGAATGATTCATTCTGAGGCAACAATTCTCTGGAACTCCAGTCACAATGTGGGTTAGAGCTTGGGTGCTTCTTCTATATTTCACGGTATGTAACTTTCAAGTTTTCTTTCACTTAACCCTTACAGTGTACCATGTCCTTTTTGCTTGCGAGAAGACGGGCTTCACTCTCTCTCTCGTTGGGCAGCTATCCTGATATTCTTGAACAAATCTGTTACCTTGGTTAGGAAAAGTTAACCGCTTTCTGTGGAATTTCACAATTAAGCCACCTCGCTCTGTACTGTCTACGTTGATGGGAAATGGCTCTCTACAGATTCAGCTGTTTTCTGGAGAAGTACTGGACTGAACCTAAAAACTCTGGCATGTGAAGAATGGTCACCACCCCTAGAAAACACTAGCTCAGAATCAAGGCAGTTAAAACCTGGGGTAACTAAAGGCCTGAGGTTGAAAGAACAGAGAAACAACCAGTTTCTTTGCCCTCCACCGCTGGGAGACCAGGCAAAGAGAAAGAGAGCTAAGTCTAAAAATTAACACAACAGCCTATATCTATAGAAGATCAAACGTGAGAAAGGATGAAAAGAAATAGAATTTCGTAGGAATCTATAGCAGTAAGACATGACTTAAATACACACACAACAGAGGTGATATTCAGCAGGTTCTGACAGGTTCTGGAGAACCGGTAGCGGAAATATTGAGTCATTCGGAGAACCGGCAAATACCACATCTGACTGGCCCCGCCCCCATCTATTCTCCGCCTCCTGAGGCCCAGCTGATTGGCTGGGTCTTCTTTTGTTGCCCTGCACAGGAGAACGGAGCTGGAAAGCAGGTTAGTGGGGTGGGGAGGGAATGGGGATCTTGCAGTAACCTTCCCCTGCCATGCCCAAGCCACACCCACCAAGCCACGCCCACAGAACTGTTAGTAAAAATTTATGAATCCCACCACTGACATAGAAATCTATGAAAATAAGATACACAAAAACTATAGAGATAAAACTTAGAAATATATACACATGAAGAAGGAAACAGAAGATAGATTGGTAAGAGTCTGTAGGAGTTATAGGAAAATCCTGGAAATAAGAGATAGCTTTAGTTTTCTTTCTTTCTGGAGGTTTTGGTACAATAAAGGGAGTCAAATGTCACTTATCTGTAGCCTGTACTAGTTCCCCCAAAGAACTGCTACACACATGTTGTTTGTTGTCCTGTGATGCGCAGGACTGATCTTTGTCCCAAGAAATAACATTCTAAATGGATATATTTCACCATCATTTATCAAGTAACAACTTGGCATTCTTTAGCTTAGGTGTGTCAGGAATACAATTCCCAAAATTTCCATGCTGGGATTTACATTAACTTAGCACACACTTGTTAAATCATTTTTCTATGGAGTTTGGCCAAATGGAACAGTGAACTGTTCAAAGTGTTCCTTTCCAATTGGCAAGGTGATACGGAGCACGGCAAACTAATGGGTTAAAGCACATTATAGTAAGATGGCTACTTAATCAGTTATGAACTAATGATTTATAGTTATCACAAAGAAAAACAAAGCATATTCCCTATTTCCATTCTGGATCTGGCGTACATGAGATCGCCATGTTTAGATGGAGGTTTCCTAGATCCAAAAAATAAGATTTATGATGAGATCTAAGATCAGATGTCTTGCTTGCATGCTTTCTTCAGAATTAGGGGTTGCAGCTAAACCCTGGGACAGCATTATTGCAGAAAGTTAGCTGAATCCTTTCAGCTGGATATATCAGGTAAAGAAATGTAGCCATTTTCCCAAAGAGAACAAGGGCTGCAGACATATCAAAGCAGTCAGAAATAAGGAAACTGTGACGCACCAATTTCCTCCCATCACTCTCATTCAAATGGCCATGCTTCAAACATAGTTACCCCCCCTTGCTTGTCCACAGCTGCTAAAACTTCTGGCTTGTGGTCAGAAGCTCTGGACAGTTCTGGTCCTCTGAAGCCACTTGGCTTAGCCTTTGCTCTTTGCCTCAGAGGCTCACTCAATAAAGACACTGTGAGAAATAATGAACTCCATCAACAGTTCACAAGAACAGCTGTGGTTCACGGGAATGAATCTTCAAGGAATGCAAGGATAATGCATTCTGCCATAACAATAATGACCAGGGATGAAAAACAGGATCTTTCTTTGGGCCTGTGAAGGATCTCTTTGAAAGCTACAACCAGCTATGAGCAATGATTCGGATTAAGAGAGAAGACATGTAAATTTGGGAACAAAAAAATCATGACTATAAAATGCTGTTCCTATAAAGGTTTGTCACCCCACCCTATGCATGCGCCCTGCCCCCCATGCATGTGCAACAGAGACCTGAAGACCAGCTGGCTGGCGGGAGGCATGCGCACATGCGTGGCAGAGCTGAGCTGGAGCAACAGCTCGTGTGCCCACAGAGAGAACTCTATGTGCCATAGGTTCGCCATCCTGGCTATATTGCTTCACAACAAGATCATGGAGCCTATTATAGAATATTATACTCGAGCACCAAGACCCGTGTTTTAAATGTCAATTAAAGAGCAAACAAAGAAACAACAACACCTGGCAAGAGCAGGAAAGTTGAAGAAAAAGGCAGAAAGGCTAATTCTGGCTGTGCAAGACCAAGCCTTAAAAACAAATGCATATAAAACCAGAACTGAGAAGACAACAAGTGCTGTCCCTGCAAAGAAGCTGAAGAAATGGCAGACCACCTAGCCAGCTTTTGCAAGAAGGCTGCATAGAGTGATTACAAACAAAGGCATGGCAACAGCAGCAACAATGGCGCATTGGAATATCTGCAAGAAATACTACTTGTCTGTGGCAAAAACTGATGGGGCGGCAACACAGATGAAGTCATTAAAAAATGAAGAAGCTAAAGTGTTGTGGGACTTTAGAATTCAAAAAAACAAGCGTCTGCCACACAATACCCCAGACTTAACAAGTGTCAATAAGACAGACAAAAAAAGTTTAGTGGACATTGCAATACCTGGAGACAGAGGAAAAGAGAAAGAACTAGACAAAAATCACAAAATAAAAAGAACTGTAAATAGAAATAGAATGACTATGGCAAAAGAAAACAAAGATAGTACTAACAGTAATAGATTCTTTTCAGTGGTGGGATTCAATTTTTTTTACTACCGGTTCTGTGGGCGTGGCTTGGTTGCCATGGCAGGGGAAGGATACTGTAAAATCTCCAGTCAGAGGTGGTATTTGACGGTTCTCCGAACTATTCAAAATTTCCACTACCGGTTCTCCAGAACTGGTCAGAACCTGCTGAATACCACCTCTGCTTTGGGTGCAATTCAAAATCATACGGAGCATCCCTTGAGAAAAAAAATTAGCATTAATCAATTGTAAATGCCAGCTTTACTGAGAACAGTTTACTGTACACCCTGCAAAAATATCTTTAATTTATTAAACAACAACATCTGCCTATCCCAGGTCCTTGGGAAGGACTTGATAGGGCGGACTAAAATGCCAAATCCAGCAAGACATATTTATAAGCATGGAAAGTCTACTTGAGAACCTATAACCCAGAAGCTGTTAAGTTCCTGCGAGATGTCCAAGACATGCTTGGGCCGTCCCATTAAATCCTGCCAATCTGGAGGCACTGATCCACCTAATGTATGTGTTAATCACTCTGTCAACCTGCTTTGTTTCCCTCTCTATTCTGTCTTTCCAGTCCCAACAATCATGGCATACCCATGACTTTCTTTCAACCAAGGAACAAACCCAGAGGCTGCTGGCTCTTTCTCCTTCCACTTGTTTATGGACACTCAAGTGCCTTGTAGTAAAGATATACAAACCCACCACTCTGTTTCCTACGAACATTATGAAAAATGAGTACAAAGTAATAAACCAAAGAAACTGAAGAGAGGAGGAATTAGCTTACAGCAGTGCACACCACATCTCCATGTCTTTCTGTCCTTGCAAATCATCCTTGCTTCTATCATATTGATATTTTGATTCATCCGGTAATTGTCTTTTGGCTTTTAAACTTCTCAGTTCATCAGTTCCATCCAATCAGTTTATTCAGTCCTTCCTTTCCTCCTGATACATTCACTCTATCACAATTCCATCACACCACTCTCCCTATTAAACCTAATTATCTTGGTCTTTGATAGTCTGAATTTTTAGATCCAGATTCTCACTGCATCCTATTCTCTATTTATCTAAGGATCCTTATACTGCTTCAAAATATGTATAAACAAATGTATGCATCTCAACATGTTCTGATCTGAAAAATTACATCCAGAAACTATGTGACTAAGTTCAAGTTTAGACTAACTAAGCTGTGAGAAGGGGAAATAGACCATGAATCCTGCTGAGAGCAAATTCATCTTCAGATATAGATATGTCCTGCCTGCCTTAACTCCCACATTCACTAAGGTTAGCATTGCCCATCAAAATCTAAAATCTACAAAATGTTATCCAAGTGCTATCAGTTGGCATTGAAGACTACTGACCTCATGCATCCAGATACTGAAAGGTTTCTCCCAGGAGTCTTTTTTGGCCAAGTGAAGGTAGGCGTTGAACAGAATGAGATAAATATAGCGTTCCAAGAATTGCAGGCTCCTTAGCTGTAAGGTCTGTACTTCTGCTTCCTCCTTTGCAGTTTTCCCCTGAAATCAGTAATTTTAAAAGGCTTTAATGCTGGGAATCAGATGCCCTTCAACTCTTAGATGGGCAGATTGATTTTCATTTTAACGAAGAATATGAAAAAAAAATCAAAACACAACTCTAACAGCTCAGACACAATTCTGGGGATTATTTCCTGATCAAAAGCTATAGAACAGTTGGGGTGAGCACCTACTCAACTATGGTTGATGTCAAAAGCAAAGTTTGATTAGACCTGGTTAGCTTTTGGATGAGAGAGTACCAGGATGAATTTTTAAAAATCCTACCATCAGTAATGGCAGACCATATCCACATTGTTGCCAAAAATGGATTAAGTTCAATATGGAGATTTCATACATGAATGCATATATACATGATATACACACATACACACACACAACATATATGGAACATATCTGAAAGATCCACAGTTCAGAAGTAATGCAACACACATGAAATTTGCATGAAATTTCAGACATAATCCTGACCTTTATCAGAGCGTCAAGTCAAAAATGCAGTTGGAAGAACCGTTCTTAGATTCAACTCGGTGTGACATAACCTTTTATGGGTTTTAATGATCTATAAAGCTAACAGTTGTGCCAACAGTTGAGTGAAATACAAGCATGGCAAATGTGTCATATGATACAGAGGAATGGATTCGTAGAGTGATAGTCCAGAACCATTATGTGAATAGAGAATTGAAAATATTCCTTGAATGAATGGGAAAAAAAAATCTCCATCACACCAAAGGAAGGCAGTTAGAAACACAAAGAAAAGCCTTCCTACTGTATACAGGGATTTATGGGTTCCAGAAAGGAAATAGTTCAATTGCAGAACTGAATCATCTCAATAAATCTTTAGGGAAAAAGACGCTGTGAGAATTGTGCATTTTCAGATGTAGTTTACTGCCAAAAAGCTTGACACATTCCATAAAAGCTAAGAATACATCTGTCATTCGGAATGGCACAAAAGTACCCTTTAAATGTTTCGTATCTGAAACATTAAATCAGAACTACACTCCACTGACAAGAGGCTAAGCTGGGACTGATGGCACCCCTTTTCTTTCTAATACCATCACAACTGCTTAGAAGAGTTTCTGCTAAGCAAGGACACACGTGGAGCCAGATCTTGATTTTGGCACTCTCACACTGATCAACTGAAAGGATCAAGGAAAACGCTGGCATTGGGGTGATGGCACAAACATGTCGTTTAGTTTCTTGGGGGGCGGGGCGGAGAAATGAACCAAGTTGATTGGATGAAAGTTCCCTAGAATCAGGAGCGTCTGCCTATCTCTTTTGAATCCTGAATTCTTCCACCCCAAGAAAATTACGTTTCTGCAAACTCAAGGTGAGAGTGACTCTAGAAAAAAAATTATTTCAGACTTTATTCAACCTTGCTATTTGAGATCTGTCCATATTAAATAAATACCCCAATCTGGCAGCAGTTTGCAAGCTTCCCCTTCAGCCTACCGCAGTCTCACAAATGAAAGCTAATATACGTGTCCCAGGATAATGGTGGAGGATCCAATCTTGGTCAGTCACCTACTCTGCCAAGCTTTCAGACCCGTGCTGGAGCCCAGTCTCCTTGTCAGTCAACAGGGGTGATGATTTATCACCAGCTTATCAGGTACTTTGGAGCCAAGGACTTGACAGCACAAGGAAACAACAGCCAACAACTTAATAGTCAGCCATCAACACCACAACCAACAACTAAAAAAAACACATGCAACCAGGCATCCCATAAATACTATGCATAGCCCAAAGCACACTTTCTGGTGAGAGAGAATTTCCCTGAGGATGGGCTCCAGCATGAGTCCAAAAGCTTGGAAGACTAACCTCTGGTCCCGGTGATCAACCCAGATTGGATCCTGCTACCCCAGTCGGGGCACTCCTTCAGACATGGAGGCCAACTCCCAAAGCCCACTGAGAGAATCGAATCCACAATTCTAAAGTGGAGGAAATGGACAGGATTTTCTGTTGGGCAGCGTCCAGGGCCACATCCCTGAAACCTAAAAAGACACACGGTGTGCATTAACTGCATGGACCTGAAGGCAGGGAAAGACTCTCCTTCAGGTTGGGCTAACATAGTAAGGAGACTTCTAAGGACGACCTGGCTGTGACATCTGTTACTCCATTGATTGCTAGGATTGACTCAGCTACTCTGGCTAGCGAAGGGGTGTCTCCTTCACTGAAAGAGGACAACCATTCTAGATAGAAGGAGTGTATTGATCTTCTGTGAAGGATATGCGATAACTGCACTCTAGAACCTGCTAGAACCTCCAAAGAAGCATTATAGTCCCATAACCACCCAGGGTTAGCATCCTTTGAGCAATGTTCCTCCCCTAACCTCCCCTTTCCTCAGTAGCTAATAATAAAGCAACTCCTCTTGGCAAAACCAGCAACTTTAGGAAAAGATCTAACCCTGGGTCATATTTAAATATGGTCATCCAAGTTCCCATTAAATTGTGCTCCATGCTAAAACTTTCTTTATTTAGACACCGAGACCCCTGAAATAGAAAAAGAAACATGTTGCAAACATTCACTTTTTTTTTAATAAACGTGGAAGGGGCAGGAAGGGAAGAACCAGGAATAGGCAGTTGAGATTTCGAGCTATAAATTGAATCCTTGTTTTATATAGTGCTGCTTTTCCTGAAGAAAAAAAAAATCAGCAACCAAGAATTAGCCTTATCCTCTTCTTCTGTCCCTGCCTTGACCTCAGTTGAGTCATGACCACACAACAGCAATCACTGAGGTAGACAACAGCGGCGACGTAGCTGTATCCATATTCATAGTTTCAGGGTGAATGTAAACACCACCCAGCCTCCAGCTCACAGTAACCACTTTGCTATAAGTAGAAATTAGCAATTAAAGCTTCATAGAATGGAACGAAAGCAAGCAAGCAAGAGGTCGGAAACTTGGGGGGAAATAATGCAATTATCTGGGAAATGGGGCCTTCAAACAGATGGCATCAACACGGTCAGACAAAAGGTATTCTATGCAGCCACTCCACCTTTTCTCTCTTTTCATGGGTGTCTCGCAGTAGGAGAAAGGGTGGAAGCAAGGGTGGAAAAAACAAAGGAGATTCACAAATGGGAAAAGGCCATCTGGAGCCTTCATAAAAATCAGTGAATAAGCCAACCCATAACACAATGAGTTCCTTGTCTAGAAAGGGCCAAGCTTAAGCCTATAAAGCTGTGCCCGCTTACCTTGGAGTAAAACTCACCCAACTCAGTTGGGCTTACTCCCACTTTTAAGCCAACAAAAAGGAGGCAGAGTTTTAGAAACAAAAATAGGAAGAGGCCGCTATTCCTTGCTAAGAGCCAGAGCGATGGTGGTCCATTAAAAGCAGTAACATGTGCAAAAAGTGAGAAGTTGCTTCTTGGTTGCTTTTCACTGCAATCTGATGATGGAGGTGCACTTTTTTTTTTTTCTAAATTAAGTTTGCACTCATTTAAAGCAGCACTGGGGTTTTTCCAAATTCAGAATTCACAGCACCTTATTCAAAAAGGTTCACTTAGTGTGTGTGTGTGTGTGTGTGTGTGTGTGTGTGAGGATGAAAACTGACTGCACAGAGAAGAGTCAAAGTCTTGGTGGGAAGCACCAATAACCCCTTCTGTTGAACGTTGCTTCTGCTACAGGAAGTACAGGTAGTCCTTGACTTACAACAGTTCATTTACTGATCGTCCAAAGTTATAATGGAAATAAAACAGCGACTTATGACCATTATTATGTGCCTCGGTGGCGCAGTGGTTAGAGTGCAGTACTGCAAGCTACTTCCGCTGCAGCCGTCTGCCTGCAATTTGGCAGTTCGAATTTCACCAGGCTCAAGGTTGACTCATCCTTCCATCCTTCTGAGGTGGACCCAAATTGTTGGGGACAATAGGCTGACTCTGTAAACTGCTTAGAGAGGGCTATAAAGCGGTATATAAGTCTAACTGCTATTGCTATTGCTATTATTCAGTTATGACCTTTGCGGCATCCCCATGGCCAGGGGATCAAAATTCAGAGGCTTGGCAACTGGTTCATATTTATGACCGTTGCTGTGTTCCCAAGGTCATAGGATCCCCTTTTGTGACCTTCAGACAAGCCAAGTCAATGGAGAAGCCAGATTTACTTAACAACCGGGTTACGAACTTATCAATTGAAGAGATTTACTTAACAACTGAAAAGTCGTAAAATGGGGGGCCAAACTCATTTAACAAAAGTCTCACTTAACAACAGAAATGTTGGGCTTCATTGTGGTCGTAAGTCAATAACTAGCTATAATTTGATCAATGGAGAGACAGAGCACAGGTAATCCTCACTTAATGAGGGAAACTGGGACTGGAATTCCCATCGATAAGTGATGGTATTAAAGCACCACATCATATGACCAGGAGGCTTAGTGAAGTGATTCTCAACATGTGACCAAGGAAATGATGCAACCAAAGTAAATTATGAGGACTGGTTATAACTACCACTTGTTCAGCACCGTTGTTAAGTTGGAACAGTCACTGAACAAGCATTTAAGCAAGGATCACCTATACAATTACACAGCTTCTATGAGAACTAAGAGGGGTTGCTTTTCCTTCTGTAAGTCCAAAAGGAGTTCATGGTCTGGGGAATAATCATATCAATGTTTGAAAATGCAATTTTCAAGTCACATTAAGATCAGAATTTTTCGAAGAGCTATTTTCTTTGGATGAAAAAATATTAAGCGGAAGGAGGAAATGGAGTCAGATACGATTCAAAAGCCTCGGAAGCCTTCAAGTGGTAAAGAAATGACCTAGTCTAGAAATCGGATTTCTCTGCTGGAAAATGGGCCCAACAGCAGCTACCCTAACCAGATAGAAGAGAGACATTTAATTCCACTTTAACACCCATGCAGTATCTGTAACTTTCAGAAATATCTATGCCCAGCTGCAGCCTTACAAGCCAAGGCGGAAGTGTCCTGTGATCTCTCTTGCTGAAAACTTAATGGACCTGTGGGGTAACTGCCAGAAGATCAGAAAGAATCAGAAGATACC